GTGTGTGTGTGTGTGTCTCCTGTCTGCCCAGGGGTACATGGATCCACGTGGGATAGTGTGTGTGTCTCCTGTCTGCCCTGGGGCACATGGATCAATTTTTTAGACATGCTATTTGTTTATGACTGACCATTCTGCAGCCAAAGTGCAAGTCTTGATGAATGTGTCTGACTTCTACATTTCTGTTGATGCTTGCTTTTCATCCCGTCTTGAAACACTATTTTAAAGGGGCAACCTACAAATTATTGAGTTTAAGGCATTTTCCCAGTGACTCTCATTTATAATCTTCTGGATTATAGTGTTTTATCAGCATTCCATCTGGGCTTTCACTTATATTACATCCATATTGTATCCAGACTGTGTAGTAGACTCTTGTCTTTAGCTCACTGAAGTTCAGCTCTCCCTGGAGCAGTTCACTGTTGCGACACCTGCTAGACCAGAAGACAGTTACTGCTCTGACTGAACTAGTAATTGGCTTAATTAGAGCTTTCCAATTAATAGGTGAGTGACCAGACATCTCCCAGTTGATGAAGAACTGTAGACTAAAAATAAATTCTGATAACTAATCTAATCAGTTTAATTAAAGCCTTAATTAAACAATCAAAAAAGTTGTAAGTAGAAGATACTAGAATCCCAAGGATTGCAGTGGTGAATCACGGGCCTTATGGTCTCAGGGAGCCTGATAGGAAACATTCAGTGTGTTTCTGGTTCCTCTGATATTTTTCCATCCTTCAAAGTCTTTGGTCAATTCAGTTGTTTTATTAAATTAAAATGCAAAACTGTTTTCAAGTGATACAAAAGGTTGATCATCAACACCTTTGAAAGTGACAGTGTCACCTCTGGTTTAGAGGTGTGACTTCGAGTTGAATGGGATGGGGTGGGGTTGATAGTGGTGTGATTGTCTGGTCTCAATTTGAGTAATGGGGATGAACACCAAAAAATGATGCACGCAGTTCGAACCTGGTTCCTCTGGGTGTCCTCCTCTTCTTGGGACTGGCCAGCAGAGATCCTGAAGAGCTGCAGCTGAGCAGGTCCTGTCGGTCTCCCAGGACGAACCGGCAGTGCAGAGGGGACCTGGACCCATGTGCGGCCTTCTGTGTAACCTGGGGGAAGCGTTCCACACAGCCTCCGTGCTGCACGCCTGATCAGGCTCGCCGGGGGGCGTGTCCCACCCGAGAGAGTCCTGCCCCAGCATCGGCGCGTATCCACTGGGGCAAGGAGAGAGCTTTTGGACAGTTGTGGGAAAAGGCACAGAAGTTTTTATGGGTTGTGCAGAAGGGAGAGGTGTAGATTGGACGGGTTGTGATTTAAAAGGTTTACGTGGGACAGAGTCAATTAACAGGGGCTGACGGGGCTTTTTTAACACCTAAGAGTTCAGAGTTGTTTTTGGCGAAAGTGAGCGCCGGCTCGCCGGGCCTGGGGCCTGTCTCCTCTTGTGCAGTTGCCCAGCGAGTCAGCAGCTCAGGCTGTGAGTGTTACAGAACCAGCAAGGCTGAGGGGTTGGGCACGAAGCACTGCAGTGGCTCCCCTGCTCAGGTGGTTGATGGCGAATTGCGCTAGGTGTCTGGATGTCGGGATAGGAGTAAATTCAGGGTGGACGATGATGCATGTCGGATGGCGACTCTCCTGCCCGTGTTTAACCCCCTCTCTCCCGCTCTGCTCCATGTGCACGGGGCAACAGATGACACCAGGGTTCTGGCAGACATGGAAGGAGTTTGAGATCCGGCACGGGAACGAGGACACGATCCGGGAGATGCTCCGGATCAAGCGCAGCGTGCAGGCCACCTACAACACACAGGTCAACTTCATGTCCTCCCAGATGCTCAAGGCCTCCACCAGCTCCACTGGCACAGGTAGGACAGAAGGGGGCAGCAGAGAGTGGGGACAATCAGACTTGCTTCAGTCTTTCTTGCTGGTTTTAGGTCAGATTATCCACCAATTATCTGACTGCTTTATCCAGTTCAGGGTGGGGGGGAGCCAGAGCCCATCCCTGCAAGGTCAGATCACACTGTGGAAAAACGGGCTACTATAGAATGAGCAGTGAAATACAAACAAGATCCGGAAGTACATTTTAACCAAGAACAGGAGACCGCTTGCTCCACACTCCCAAAGCCCCTTTGTGTGAAGAAGTGCGGTTAACACACTTGTTTTTTTATTTTAAAAGTACTTTCACATACTTTGTTCTGTGGTTTGTGCTTTACTGGTTATTCCATAGAAATCTGATTCTTCGTAGAAGAAGAAATCCATAATCTCCAAGACAATCATTCAAGACTAAAGCGATTTGGTTCCTCAAGCTTCTTCTAGCAACTTTACTTCTTTCTCTGTAGTGTTTTGCTGTGGAGTTGTGTTGCCTCACTGTGTGTGTTGCCTTCCTGTATCCTGCAGTGTCCGACCTGGCCCCTGGGCAGAGCGGTATAGACGACATGAAGATGCTGGAGCAGAAGGCCCGACAGCTGGCCGCCGAGGCTGAAGAGGACCGGCCCAAGCCCAAGGACAAGATCCTGTTCGTGAGGTCAGTCTACCGCAGAGTCCCAGGCCTCCGGCCTGCTGCGCCGGGCTGCAGTGTCCCAGGCCAGTCCCAGATTTTCTGATCTAGCAGGTGTAGCACAGGGGCCTGCTGTGCCGGGCTGCAGTGTCCCAGGCCAGTCCCAGATTTTCTG